ACATGTATACCGTTATGATGTATACATGTACACATATATACCGTCATGATACATACATATTGGTAAAAAAAAACAAAATTGCAAGATCACGCTTCTGAATTGAAATGGCAGGGACCGAATATTTGGTCTTAAAATTAAAACGAACGAAGAACTGATCTATGTCTGAATGTTCTGAATAGTGTGTATATAGAAGCTCTAGACTTTACCATGGCGATGTATGATCAATAGTCACATGATGGTGACACTATCGTCCTGGGGGATTTTAATGCAAATCTAGGCAAACATCGTATTTGCAGAGAGCTCACTGAAAGAACTCTCATTCGTATTGTTCCTGTGGACGACCAGTCCCAAATTACATTCTCGACAAAGTGTAATTCTTTGAGAACTCACATTGATTATGTGATTGAACATAGAGATTGCAATGTACCTCCCTTGTGTAAATGTGTGTCTGATCACTTGCCTATAGTAGCTTTGTCCAGTAAACACTGTGGCGCTTTTTTAAACAAGTTTAACTGGAAGAAAAGTTGACTTGATGCTATACCGGTATGATAACCATCTTCGAGAGACGTGCGTTGATATGTCATGTTACACAAAACCTGCAGAATATATCAGCTCCTACAACGACATTATCGTGCAGGCACCCGAAGATTCATCAAACAGAAAACCGTGCTCGGATATCGCTCGTACCTAACGCGGTATTGGAAAAGAAACGGCTTGAAATCTCTCAATGATGAAATGAGACGAAAATCTCACAATATTGATGATGTACATTATAGAAAGGACAAAGACGCTGAGTGTAAATTCCGTAAATACCATCGTAGATCATAAAAAAACCGCTCTCTTGTCGATAAACTGTGAAAATATCGAAAGCTGCTGAAGTGGACATTAGCGAATATGCAAAAGTGAGCAGACGCTTATCGAGACAGGATAGATCAATGTCAAACTTGTCTTTTAATGAGACTATTTAAATATGCCGGGGGATATATGCTCAGCGTTTAGCATGTACTTTGCTGATTCAGCTACGTCTGTAGTGTCTGATTGTTTTGATAATCCTTTGCGTTTGATGTAGAATTATGGAAATTATTGACATATCTTCTGATTCGGACATGCTTCATTCACCTCTATCCGATGCTTCCACCTCGCAAGAGATTGTGTGTGATGTTAAATCACTGAATACGGGAAAATCCCCTGGTCCAGATTGCCAAACTAGCCAGCTCCTTAAACGTGCTGGTAGAACATTATTTGGCCATTTAACTACAATGTTCATAGATCATTATTTGGTAATTTAACTACTATGTTCAATGCTATAATTAAATATGAAGGTATACCATCGTATTATAAAATAGGTAAGATCTTACCAATTCACAAAGGCAATGGTAAGAGTAAGTCTGACCCCAACAATTACAGAGGGACTACGTTAACATCTGTCCTCAGTACGCTGTTTTGAGCGCCTTCTGCTTTTCAGAATTGAAAAGTGTGTAAACAGAAAGCACGGCAAACCTCGGAGTTTTTGCACGTTTATGTACGAGTGTTGATATATTCGATAATCAAAAGACACGAGGGTGAGAATCTCCATAATTTTTGCCATTAAATATTGTACTACCACGCTATCGGGTACTGCCATTGTGATTGCTTAGCAGTTTTTCGTATGTTTTTGTAAAGTTTGTCAATTTTATAAGATAATTGTTTGTTGCACAGAATTCTGGGTTAACGTTATTGTTTCAATATGGAATCGACACCTAACAACATATATTATTATCACTGACTTCTGCTATCACCACTGTATGTGTATTTGACACTGACCCCTGCCATCACATTATATATTGCCACTGAATATTGTATTTCCATTCTCTTGTGTACTGCCATTGTAATTGCTGTGTAGTAATTTGTATTGATTTGCAAACTTAGTTTATTTTGAAATACAATAATTTGTTAGTTGTACACCATTTGTCGGTTGTTTGTTGGTTTTACAGTAAGTGTTCTAGTCTTTTAAGTACAGATTTCTAGGGTAACATATTGTGTCAATTTGGGAATCGACACGTCACACATATAAGATATAAACAACTCGTGGTCGTTGTTAATCGTACAATAAAACACTGCAGGGTTAAAAAACCACTCGGTGCTGCGCTCCCTCAAGTAATTTATTGTACTGTAAACAAGGACCACTCGTCGTTCATGTCTTAAATATACCGTCATGGTACAAACACCTACACATAAATAGACTCATGATAGATACATGTAAACGCATATACCCTCATGAGACATACATGTGCATATATATCTCATCGCGATTTACAACAATATAGCGTCATGAGACATACATGTACACATATATAACGTCGCGATTTACACACATATAGCGTCATGAGACATACATGTACACATATATAACGTCGCGATTTACACACATATAGCGTCATGAGACATACAAGTACACATATATAACGTCGCAATTTACACACATAAAGCGTCATGACACATACATGTACACATATATAACGTCGCGATTTACACAAATATAGCGTCATGAGACATACATGTACACATATATAACGTCGCGATTTACACACATATAGCGTCATGAGACATACGTGTACACATACATGTATATAACGTCGCGATTTACACACATATAGCGTCATGAGACATACAAGTACACATATATAACGTCGCGATTTACACACATATAGCGTCATGAGACATACGTGTACACATACATGTATATAACGTCGCGATTTACACACATATAGCGTCATGAGACATACATGTACACATATATAACGTCGCGATTTACACACATATAGCGTCATGAGACATACATGTACACATATATAACGTCGCGATTTACACACATATAGCGTCATGACACATACATGTACACATATATAACGTCGCGATTTACACAAATATAGCGTCATGAGACATACATGTACACATATATAACGTCGCGATTTACACACATATAGCGTCATGAGACATACGTGTACACATACATGTATATAACGTCGCGATTTACACACATATAGCGTCATGAGACATACATGTACACATATATAACGTCGCGATTTACACACATATAGCGTCATGAGACATACATGTACACATATATAACGTCGCGATTTACACACATATAGCGTCATGAGACATACATGTACACATATATAACGTCGCGATTTACACACATATAGCGTCATGAGACATACATGTACACATATATAACGTCGCGATTTACACACATATAGCGTCATGAGACATACAAGTACACATATATAACGTCGCAATTTACACACATAAAGCGTCATGACACATACATGTACACATATATAACGTCGCGATTTACACAAATATAGCGTCATGAGACATACAAGTACACATATATAACGTCGCGATTTACACACATATAGCGTCATGAGACATACATGTACACATATATAACGTCGCGATACCTACATGTACCCATATTTATCATCCACAACTACCTCCCACAGGACATATCGCTTGGGTGAGATGAAATTGCACCACAACGCTTTGCAGACCTATTGTGTCGTCATTGGTCACTTCTGCCTCTGCTACTGAAGCTGTTAAGCAGTACTTTTTACACTAAGACACTACATATTACTGTCTACAAACGTTTATCAACTAGTGTTGATATATTTGATGTAAAAAAACACTCGGGTGAGATTCTATATATACCGTCACGATTTACACACATGTATACCGTCATGATGCATTCATGTTCATACATATTCTGATTATACCTACATGTCCAAACATAGCGTCATGATACAGACATGTCCAAACATAGCGTCATGATACATACATGTACACACATAGCGTCATGATACAACTGCTATGTTGTACAGCTTTAGCTGATGCAAGGAACACCCTCTATGAACATTTATTTGACTCTTTAAACCTCGAACAATACATGCGTATTGAGGACTGTGCAGATGACGAAGTCAAACTTGTGACATTGCTAGGTGGTATAACCCCTATTGTAGAGGATATGAGCCTTGACAGATGGGCTGAATTCATATCTTCTGTATCACGAGACATAAGCTCCTGGAACCTGCGATCACTGCTCTATCTATAGACAGTATATCTCATACCAGGACCAGGACATGTAAAAATTCAGTATTGCCAATTTCTCTGCATAATATAATGTTCGTGTAAATATGCTGCGTTAACATGATTCCAAATGTATATCACTCTCCGAAATTAATGGAGGAAATAAAGATCATTCATTCATTCATACATGTACACATATATAACGTCGCGATTTGCACACACATAACGTCATGAGACATACATGTACACATATATAACGTCGCGATTTGCACACACATAGCGTCATGAGACATACATGTACACATATACATGTATAACGTCGCGATACCTACATGTACCAAATTTTATCATCAAAAACTACCTCCCACAGGACATATCGCTTGGGTGAGATGAAATTGCACCACAACGCTACCGTCATGATACAAACACCTACACATAAATAGACTCATGATAGATACATGTAAACGCATATACCCTCATGAGACAAACATGTGCATATATATCTCATCGCGATTTACACACATATAGCGTCATGATACATATATGTACACACATACCGTCATGATGCATTCATGTTCATACACACCGTCATGATACATTCATGTTCATACATACTCTGGTGATACCTACATGTACACACATAACTTCATATACGTCACGATAGAAGCATGTAACATACATGTATGTATCAATGTTACCTACATGTATACATCTATATGAAGACATATATGTAAACAGTATACAGTCACGATACATACTTGCAAACAAATATACCCAAATATATATGATATATATACGTTGATATTACTCTGCAGTAAATAATGTAGATAGAAACCTTCGAATATTTTAAAAGAATTTAAAGTGCAATTGGTTAAAGCTTCCTTAGAATTCAATGTCCATCTATTCGTAAGCATCGCACCTATATAACGTACCTGAACAGATAGGTGAACAGCGAAGTACGCACGAGAAACGTGGGGACTCTTCTACACCCCATATATATATGTACAATTGCGTATAACATTATTATCAGCCACCTCATTCTATTGGTGGACTCTCACTTCACCCACAGTAATAAAACAGATGACGACGTCTGTGTGTTGACAATGGAGCTGAAGGGCAGGTGAGGTACCCTGATGTAACCTAGCGTTGCATCTATTGCCTAACCAGATCAATGCAAACTGATTCAGAGTAAGCTTTATGTCGAGCAATGTTTCGGAAGTTCCAGACTTTGATGTCAACATTTCACAACTTTTGAGAAACAATAGAGCATGCTCTTTTCGAGACGATTTTAAGTTGTTTAATCGGGGTTCAAGGTCTCCCGGTATTTTTTTCGAAAGATGTGGAGGACATTTCTAAATTTGACGCATCAGTGACAAAACTTATGTCCGATGTAATTCCCTGTTTTCACTTGTACCATATGTTCCCGTGTTCTTGTAGGTAAACACTTGACAATGCATGCGTCACTGATCACCGGTGGGTGCCAATTTTTCGCGACACCTGGTGTCATGACTATTAGATGGTGGTTCATAGACAGATGGTAATGATATTGTCGCAATCGTACAATGGACACTTCTTTTTGTAGAAGTGTCCTATAATTATGGAATTGTGATTGTCGCATTTATTTACCAATTTGAGGTAGTTGGTTTGCCCACTTTAGTTTTAAATCATTAGCTTGAACTCAACTGAGTTAAATATACCATTCGCTTATATTTCGATTTTAAGAAAGACTTTGGCGTTTACGCCTGAAAAGCAACAGATGAACAATCAATGGAAGTAATATTGTTTCGTAATGTTATTGACAACAGCAGCAGTACACGGCTTACATATACTACGCAAAAGAAGTTAAGACCACCCGATTGATTGATTTCACTGTGCATACGTGCATGCATGACAGACTAACTATAGTAATATTAAAGAATCGTCTTGACATGTGATGAGGTGAGGTGAAATTGAGTTTAACGTCGCGTCCACGATTATTGCACTTATATAGCGACGTGCATGCACGTGTGTGTGTGGCTGCTTGTACTAGTCCGGACTGATGCCGATTTATAGTGCTAGCTCACTGAGATACCATGCCGCAGTTTAACATGAACACCCCACGCAGACACAGTATACTGACTCCGAGCCGACCAGTCCTTGTTTTAGCCCCTTAATGCCGAGCGCCAGTGCCATCAACAACAAGTGCCATCTTTTAACGTATTTTGGTATGACGCGGCCGGGGATCGAACCCCGAACCTTCCGGGCGGACGCTCTACCACTAGACCACGGAGGCGGTCCATCTTGACATGACCAAAATGAAGGTGATTGTTGTGCTTATTGGTCTAATAAAGCTTAAGCCGTGAAGAAATACCGTGAATGTTTTATGAATGAAACTGTAAGAGAGTGAATGCAGGTAAAGCCTCTTTGAACATCATTTTAATCACATCACGATTTGTGTGGGAAGCTCGGAGTGGTGCAGGTCTTAGACGCGTCCCACTTTTGTGATATCCAACAGCAAGTGAGGGGTAGTGGGGTAGCCTAGTGGTTAAAGCGTTCGCTCGTTATGCTGAAGACCCGGATTCGATTCCACACATGGGCACATTTCTGGTGTCCCCCGCCGTGATATTGCTGGAATATTCCTAAAGGCCGCGTAAAACCACACTCGGTCACTCAGTCACTCACTCAGTCACTCAGTCACTCACTCAGTCACTCACTCACTCACTCACTCACTCACTCACTCACTCACTCACTCACTCACTCACGCACTCACTCAGTCACTCACGCACTCACTCAGTCACTCAGTCACTCAGTCACTCACGCACTCACTCACTCACTCAGTCACTCAGTCACTCACGCACTCACTCACTCACTCAGTCACTCAGTCACTCACTCACTCACTCACTCACTCAGTCACTCAGTCACTCACGCACTCACTCACTCACTCAGTCACTCACGCACTCACGCACTCACTCGCTCACTCAGTCACTCACTCACTCCCTCAGTCAGTCACTCACTCACTCAGTCACTCAGTCACTCAGTCACTCACTCACTCACTCACTCAAAAACAAGTGAATGGTGCCTGCAAACCCTCAAACATAATTAGAGCAAATATAGGTTTCCAACCGATCGATCATAGGTTTATGTTCGTCTACGGGACGCAACACCGATATTGCGGCGCCTTTGACGACCGGATCTCGAGTGCCCCTTTAAGCATGATCCTCGTGGGTGACCTTAACGGGGTCGGTTATCCAATCAGAACAAGTAAACCGAGGTCAGCCTGACCAGCTTAGTACCTCACCACATGTCTCTTCGCCCAGTGGTAATAAAATAGAATATTACACTAGTTTCAGTGTGGTATCACACTTATCAACCCTCGTAAAATAGGTTTACGTCTGCCTTCGGTAAACATGGTATAACTAGACATGATTTCACGAAGGACATCAACTTGATATTGAATTGAACCGGACAACTTTGCATTGTATGGATGACAAGATCTCTATTCATACTGCTGCGACGTTTCGGTGTAAAAACTAGAGCACAGTGTAGATTGTTCATATGTTACGTTTTCATTACTGTGAAAATTATATTATTGTACATATTTTTTCATTTTATATATCGTTATACTCCACATGGGGTGTCTCGTCATATTTTATTGTGTGCTCATTATGATACTGTGTGCGAACGTGTGCGTAGCGGTACCGTGGAGTGTGCAGATTATGATCTGTCGGATTTGAACCGCTCTGTCTCAGTCCAGGAAGTTGACCTTGCTGTTATGCAGATGAAGACAGGAAAAGCGCCTGGGGTAGACGGTATACCGGTAGAAGTACTACGAAATCCTCATTGTATTAACTTACTTCACCATATCATTAAGTATTGTTTTGAACATTCAGTGTCGCCGTCTCAGTGGGGAGCAGGACTAATTACTCCTATTCCTAAGGACAAAAGTACCCCGTCAGATCCTTTGTCTTACAGGGGCATTACTCTCATATCAATACCCTGTAAAGTCTACACGTGTATACTGAACTGTAGGATACAGAAGTGGTTGGAGTCAAATAATATTCTTGTGGAAGAGCAAAATGGTTTTAGACCTAAGAGAAACTGCACTGATCACTTATATGCACTTTATAATATTGTTAATAACCGTAAAGCCTCTAAACGATCTACGTATGTCTGTTTTGTTGATATTAAGAAGGCGTTTGATAGGGTTAATCGCAATTGCCTTTGGTACAAGCTTATGTCTGTTGGTATTCATGGTAAAATGCTACAAGCTGTACAAGCCTTATATATGGACGTAAAGTGTGCAGTTAAGCTCAATGGTTTTATCACTGAATCTTTTAATGTTACCTTGGGCGTTAAACAAGGATGCAAGTTATCGCCAACGTTATTTTCCGTTTATATTAATGATTTGGTGTTAGACATGAATAAGTTAAACTGTGGCATACCTATTGAAAGTTCTGTGTTATCAGTTTTGTTGTATGCTGATGATATAGCCTTGTTAGCTGAAGACGAAGACTCGTTACAGAAAATGTTAAATGTTTTAAATATATGGTGTCAAAAATGGCGTTTGGATATTAATTCAGACAAAACCAAAATCATGCATTTCAGAAACAAAGCTGTGGCTAGATCTGAGCGAGTATTTGTATGCGGCAAATCTATTATTGATTATGAAAGCTCTTACAAATATCTTGGTTTAACTTTTAATGAGCATTTAGATATGCACAAAACAGTCCAGGTACTGTGTAAATCGGCTAGCAGAGCTCTTTCTGCGTTGTATTCAAAGTTTAAACACGCGGGTGGCATGTCTTACGAAGTATTTAACAAGCTTTATAAAGCTCTTGTAGAACCTGTTCTATTTTATGGTGCTGGCATTTGGGGTTTGAATAAGTATAAGGAAGTAGAAATAATTCAAAATAAGGCTTGTCGTTTGTTTCTAGGCGTAAGAAAAAATGCCCCAGTTACTGCTATGAGGGGGGACATGGGCTGGTGTTCTGTGAAAGTGTCACAGCACGTTGAATGCTTTAGATTATATTTTAGAATTCAGAATATGCAGGCCCATCATCTCCCTCTTATCATTCATAATTGGTCCAAAATCCGATCACAATCCTGGGATAAAAAAATCGTAAACATTTTAGCTCACTATAATTTGTCAAATTTACCTTATTGTGGATACAGCATTAAACAGTGTGTTGACCGTGTAAAGTGTTTCTTAACTGCTGAAGATTGTGATATGTGGTATACTGCGCTATGGAATGACAAGAATAATCCAAATGGCAATAAATTACGCACATACAGAATGTACAAATCATCACCTACTGCTGAGCCTTATTTATGTCATGTACGTTTTAGAGATCATCGAAGACTTTTAGCATCCTTTCGATGTGGTATTTTACCTTTACATGTTGAGACCGGCCGCTACGCCAAGCCATACATGTATGTATGTATGTATGTATGTATGTATGCATGTATGTATGTATGTATGTATGTATGTATGTATGTATGTATGTATGTATGTATGTATGTATGTATGTATGTATGTATGTATGTATGTATGACGTGGTGTGTGGGCGGCGCAACGCGGTGGGGGGAGTTAAGGGGGAGCGCACTGTTTAACTAAGGACTTTCGAAGTCAGTTGCCCTGTATCCTGGCATACTGGTGCGCTCTTCGCTGAAACCGCCCACGGCCGTGCTCCGCGCCTGCATCACGAGGTATGTATTTTTTATTCTGTTTCAACTGAATAGTTTTATGATTGATATGTTTTATAGTGTCTCGTAGGTCATATTTGGCCGGATGTTATATTTTACTGTTTTGTATATATCGTATTACGAAGTGTATATAACATGTGACACTTTAATAAACAATATTCTCTCTCTCTCTCTGTGTTATTTGTGAGTTGTTATAACGTGTTCACTGTTTATCTTAAACAAATATAGCGATGTGACACTTCAACAAAAGATAAACATATACCTGTCTGTCCGTCACCTTTAAAGATCTTCTTGTT